AAGAGCAATAAAGCTCAGATGCACAAGTGTCAGATTAAATTCTACAGCAGTTTATTGAAGGATAAATGCACTTCTACAAGGTTTGGAATGATGCTCAAACCACAAGCAGCGAGTACACGGAGTGGTGAGATTGAATCCACATTGGTTACCGAGTGTGGAACATTGAGCAAATCAACAGTGACAGGTTGATATGTAGCATCACATGAACTAATTGTCATGAGAGCCTGAAACACCCTGTGATTACAAACCCAGCACCTCAGCTCAGTCTGAGCAGGGTGGGTGGTTCCCAGACACTCAGGCAAATCTAAACTCAGCATCAATCAAGCAAATCAGGGGTTAAACGCATCAGCAGTAGCTCAAACCGCAGCTCAGGGTTATCAATTGCAGAGGTGAGAGTCTCATTAACTAGTAAGCCTCTGATACACGTTTAGCAGTTGGAAGTTTCCAAACCCTGTGGGGGTCATATGGATCCCTGCGGGCTGGGGGATCGAGTTTTGCAGCCAGAGCACGTTTGCTGGTTGGTGTCTGTGGTTAAGAATTTCCTTTGCCAAAGCCTGTGTGTTTTGCTTCCCTGCCACATATTCCCCAAGAGGTTAAAATACAAGATCAGAGTTTCCACAGTCGTGTTGGAATTGTGAGGTTGCCATCAAACAACGTGGGGTTCTGAGCCCCTTTCTCAGCCTGGAGGGGGTGGGGGGCGATTTAAAAAATAACAGGAAATGTCCTAGGTTTTTGCAGAGCAGATAAGCTGCCATTAAGCAACAGCCCCAATTGCTCCCTCACTGCATCCACAGCTGATCAATTCATTCCCCTGCAAGCCAGAGCGGCTGGATCTGGCTCACCCAGGCCCTGGCTCCCAGCCCTGGGGAGGGGACCCCGCGGAGAGGAGCTGAATGTCAGGTCTTGCTGTGTCCTGGGCTTTTGCCAGCTGCTGTACCACCATGACATGGAGTGACACTGCCCCCCATCTCCAGTGAGTACCTCTGCTGCACATACCCCTCCAGCTCCCCGAACTGTACCCTCCCTCTAGCTCCCCCTCTCCTTCCCTTCTCCCTCCCCCCAGCTCCCTCATCCCTCTGGCAGCGTGCTCCTTTTGGGAACCTGAAATACAGTAACCCTAAGCTCAGGAGGTCCCAGCACTGGCCCTAGGACATGTGGCCAGCAGCGTCTCACCTCCCAAGGGAGGATCCCAGATAAGAGGTCTGGCCCCAGGAGTGGTTTAGGAGCCCCAGAGTTAGAAACAAGAGTGATGTTGTGGTGGGAGTCTGACATAGACCACCAGACCACGGGGGTGAGGTGGACGAGGTTTTCTTCCGGCAACTAACAGAAGTTACTGGATCACAGGTCCTGGTTCTCATGGGAGACTTCAATCACCCTGATATCTGCTGGGAGAGCAATACAGTGGTGCACAGACAATCTAGGAAGTTTTTGGAAAGTGTAGGAGACAATTTCCTGGTACAAGTGCTGGAGGAACCAACTAGGGGCAGAGCTCTTCTTGACCTGCTGCTTACAAACCGGGAAGAATTAGTAGGATAAGCAAAAGTGGATGGGAACCTGGGAGGCAGTGACCATGAGATGGTCGAGTTCAGGATCCTGACACAAGAAAGAAAGGAGAGCAGCAGAATATGGACCCTGGACTTCAGAAAAGCAGACTTTGATTCCCTCAGGAACTGATGGGCAGGATCCCCTGGGAGAATAACATGAGGGGGAAAAGAGTCCAGGAGAGTTGGCTGTATTTTGAAGAATCCCTATTGAGGTTCAGGAACAAATCATCCCGATCTATAAAAAGAATAGTAAATAAGGTAGGTGACCAGCTTGGCTTAACAGTGAAATCCTTGCTGATATAAACACAAAAAAGAAGCTTACAAGAAGTGGAAGTTTGGACAAATGACCAGGGAGGAGTATAAAAATATTGCTCAAGCATGCAGGAGTGAAATCAGGAAGGCCAAATCACACTTGGAGTTGCAGCTAGCAAGGGATGTTAAGAGTAACAAGAAGGGTTTCTTCAGGTATGTTAACAACAAGAAGAAAGTCAAGGAAAGTGTGGGCCCCTTACTGAATGAGGGAGGCAACCTAGTGACAGAGAATGTGGAAAAAGCTAATGTACTCAATGCTTTTTTTGCCTCTGTATTCACGAACAAGGTCAGCTCCCAGACTGCTGCACTGGGCAGCACAGCATGGGGAGGAGGTGACCAGCCCTCTGTGGAGAAAGAAGTGGTTCGGGAGTATTTAGAAAAGCTGGATGAGCACAAATCCATGGAGCCGGATGCACTGGAGTTGGCAGATGTGATTGCAGAGCCATTGGCCATTATCTTTGAAAACTCATGGCGATCGGAGGAGATCCCGGATGACTGGGAAAAGGCTAATGTAGTGCCCAGCTTTAAAAAAGGGAAGAAAGAGGATCCGGGGAACTACAGGACAGTCAGTCTCACCTCAGTCCCTGGAAAAATAATGGAGCAGGTCTTCAAGGAATCAATTTTGAAGCACTTAGAGGAGAGGAAAGTGATCAGGAACAGTCAGCATCGATTCACCAAGGGCAAGTCATGCCAAGGGTCAGTTCTGGGGCCAGATTTGTTTAATATCTTCATTAATGATCTGGAGGATCTGCATGGACTGCACCCTCAGCAAGTTTGCAGATGACACTAAACTGGGAGGAGTGGTAGATACGCTGGAGGGTAGGGATAGCATACAGAGGGACCTAGACAAATTAGAGGATTGGGCCAAAAGAAATCTGATGAGGTTCAACAAGGACAAGTGCAGAGTCTTGCACTTAGGATGGAAGAATCCCAGGAACTGCTACAGACTAGGGACCAAATGGCTAGGAAGCAGTTCTGCAGAAAAGGACCTAGGGGTGACAGTGGACGAGAAGCTGGATATGAGTTGACAGTGTGCCCTTGTGGCCAAGAAGGCTAATGGCATTTTGGGCTGTATAAGTAGGGGCATTGCTAGCAGATCGAGAGACGTGATCATTCCCCTCTATTCGACATTAGTGAGGCCTTATCTGGAGTACTGTGTCCAGTTTTGGGCCCCACATTACAAGAAGGATGTGGAAAAATTGGAAAGAGTCCAGGGGAGGGCAACAAAAATGATTAGGGGGCTGGAGCACATGAGTTATGAGGAGAGGCTGAGGGAACTGGGATTGTTTAGTCTGCAGAAGAGAGGAATGAGGAGGGATTTGATAGCTGCTTTCAACTACCTGAAAGGGGGTTCCAAAGAGGATGGATCTAGACTGTTCTCAGTGGTACCAGATGAAAACAAGGAGTAATGGTCTCAAGTTGCAGTGGGGGAGGTTTAGGTTGGATATTAGGAAAAACTTTTTCACTAGGAGGGTGGTGAAGCACTGGACTGGGTTCCCTATGGAGGTGGTGGAGTCTCCTTCTTTGGAGGTTTTTAAGGCCCGGCTTGACAAAGCCCTGGTTGGGATGATTTAGTTGGGAATTGGTCCTGCTTTGAGCAGGGGGTTGGACTAAATGACCTCCTGAGGTCCCTTCCAACCCTGATATTCTATGATTCTATGAAACTAGTGGACTAGTCCCAGATCTGGCACCCCCCTGATCAACTTGGCTATGCCGACATAACCCCAGTGTAGACACAGCTATGATGATGGAAGAAACCATCACTCAGGGAAGTGGGGTTCCTACAGCGATGGAAAAACCCTTTCCTTGTGCATAGGCTGCAACTACGTTTCTATGCTGACATAGCTACGGCAATGTAGCTACGCTGATAGACAGTTTCCATAGTGCAGACAGCCCCGTAGGCCATGTCTGCACTCTGGGTAGTCCCGTACTGCAGCTGTAGTGACATAGTATAGACACTTCCTACATCAACGAAAGGGGATTTTCCATTGATGTTGTTAATCCTCCTTTCCAAGAGACAGGAGCTAGGTGGACAGAAGAATTCTTCCATTGATCTAGCCACATCTACGCCAGGGGCTAGGTGACCTATCTATGGTGCTCAGGGTCTGTGTGTGACATTTTTCACAGCCCTGTGCAACGTGGCTAGGTTGATCTAATTGTTAAGTGTAGGTCAGGCCATAGTGGTGCTGAGAATTCACACCTCTGCCCGGTGCTATTAGTGACACAGGAGAGGAGCGTGTGTTTAATAAAGTATTTCATCAGACAGTGTCCCCTTAAGCTTTTCCATCCTATGGGATGATTAACAGACATGGCAGAAGCTGAGAATTTTACCCCAGTTGTGTCTGGTTCCAGCCTGGTTAAAAATGATCTTAAATCTTAGTCAGTCTTTCTCTCGTCTGTCACATTATATGTGAGAAGGAAGGAAACATCACCTCCTCTCTACTCAGATCCAGTCTCCACTAGACCTGGGGTTGGTGTCAGACCTGTTGCTCCTTTCTGGTTTCTCACCTGGGGCGATACACGTCTACACTGCATTGTAAGTCTGTAAGTCCCGAGCTTGTGGACTCGGTGTTTCCAAGCCTGCGCGTGAGTGTCTACATTTCACTGGAAACCTGGGTTTACAAGTGTTGGACCCAGATATTGGGGCTCTACTAGCACGTCCGCACTGCAGCACACAGAGCTTCTGATTTGGGTCTGAAGCTTGAGTTGCGTCCACACTGCCGAATGACAGGGCTTGGACATGAGTCTCAGTGGGACTCAGGCTATGATCCACCCTCCCAGCAGACTCCTAGAACCTGTTCCTGCGTGCTCACTGACCCGAGTCTAACTGATTTGGCTGTGGAAGGAAGTGGGTCTGAGGATCAAACCCGAGTCGGAGTCCACGCTTAGTGTGCAGTGCAGACAGACCCTAGAGAGACCCACTGAGGAGGGACTGGCTGAGAGAGAGCCAGGAAGCAGGAGCAGCAGAACTGCCAGAGACCCCTGGGAGGAGAGGCTGTGAAAGTCGGCAGTGGAAGGCTGAGCTGAAAAATGGTTTTGTCTCTTGGTTTGTTTACATTTGGGACAATCAAACTGCAGAAAGGAGACCAGGGCTGTGGCAGTTTATCCTGGGAAGCTGGGGAGAAGCTCTGCCTTGGGACACTCTTATTGGTTATTCTCTGCTCCCTCCAAAGCCTTTTTCAGGACTCGTAGAGCATCTTCTGCAACTTCATCCAAAAATGTATGTAGCACTTCATAGGTGACACTGTACGATCTCTTTGCCGCTATCCCAGTGCCAATCAGTGGTATCACGCTGATAAAATATTTAACTGTCATCATACGTTCCCCTGTAGCCTCTCTGAGCCGCTTCAAAGCCTCTTCTCTTGTTATATCTTTGGCCAGAGGGGACTTTATTACACACTTCAGCTCATCAGCAGACATCCGAACTTGTTTAGCAAGTGATTCGAGGGAATCATCATCCAGGCCAAAGGACTTGCAATACTCTCTCATGTTTTCCACCAAGATCTTGACATCGCACTTAACCGAGAGAAATGGGAGAGGAACAGCAGCGATACTACACGACTTCAGGGCTTGTTTCCAGATCTGTTCCTGCAGGGCCTTCTGTTTCTCTTTCAAGATTTTTTCAGACGTACGGGGCAGGGCACAGATGAGAACATGTCTCTTGTGAGTTTTGAGGTCTTTCGCCAAAGTCTCCTGCAGTTGGGGATAATCGTACTTGTGAAAGTCCCATCTTGACACTAGGAAAACCTGTGGGGAGATGATCCCTGCTTTTTGTAGCTGCTCCATGCAGTCACTTCTGATTGTCGCTAGAGTTTTCTCCTCTTTGAAATCTCTTTTTCTTCGTTCATTAGACAAGTCCATATCCACCTTGGAGCGAACAAAGTAAAACTTCTTCTCCATGCTGTTGATTTCTTTGGCAAGGTTGGTATCAGCCTCTGTGAAGCGCTCAGCTGAGATGATGATGAAGAAATCATAACGATCAAATTTCATATCTTTTATGTATTTTTCTGCTGGACACTTCATTGTTCCGATCCCAGGAAGGTCCCACATAGTGACATTTGGGTGCATGTGATGGGGATAAGCAGTTGGCAAACTGGTTGTTTCTATCACCCCAGTCTTAGCTGCACCACTGTCATCATCATTCAGGCTTCTTATGGCATTGATGAAAGACGACTTCCCAGAGCCTGAGTTCCCTGTGATGGCGATGTCGAGCTTGGTATTTCTTAACGTGTCAACAGACATGTTCACCACAGAAATGGCTTCTGAGAAGTTCCCAGCTTTGACAGCAGTCTGGAATTTTTCAGTTTCCTCCTCAGACAAACCGGGCAGTTTACTGCTCCATTTTGAAAAGAAACCATCTGAGTGAGTTTTTGAATCTTCCGTTATCCTCAGAAAAGAAACACAAATTCCAGTCAGGGTTAGGGGTTTTCCCTCCCAACAGTCAGAGCCATAGAAACAGAGTTGAAGGCCAGAAGAGACCCCCCAGATCACCTAGTCTGACCTGCTGTATGTCACAGGCCACTCACAGCCCCCAGCACCCACACTAAACCCAACAACCAAAGTGAGACCAAAGCATTGCCGCCCTCAGAAGCCTGAATTATTGCATTCCACAGGAAGGGAACAGGGGGCACCGAGCTGCACCAGTGCCCGGGGCCACTGGAGTAGCAAGGAACTGATTCAATGAGAGAGACCCAGCAAAAAGAGATGTCCTTGTATCCATGTAACAGAGTCACAGGGCTGGCAGGAAAGGAGCTATTGCTCACAACTTGCAATAAATAAATAAAATAATCTAGAGTTAAAATAAAGTGTTTAGAATGCCCAAAGGAGAAAGATTCATTTCTGCATACATGTGCCACTAGTGGGTGCTGTGCTGGATGGAGCAGGGTGGAGGCTGTCCCCTGGCAGGCAGGGCTGGCCCCGATGCCCCAGCACATCGTTAAGGGGTCCTGTGGTGCCAGGAAAAGCCTGAGAAAAAACTGCAACAGTTCACTTTTAAGTTTCTGAAATCACAGGAAATCTGCCTTCCCTCCCAGTAACTGAACACGTGATTTCACATCCCTTAAATGTTAATTTTCTTGAGTCTGTGCATTTGGACTCGGAGAACAGCCTGGAGTAGGGTGACCATATTTCCCAAAAGGAAAACCGGATACCGTGGGGGCTCACCCAAGCCCACTCTGCATGGAGCTGACCTGAGCCGCTCACCCAAGCCCCACAACCACGCTCACCCAAAACACCCCTCTGCGGGGCTGGCCTCAGGACACCCCCGCACAGACACAGGGGATGGCCTGAGCCGCCTGACATCACAGCTTGTCTGAGCCCCGCCCTGAGGGCTGGTGTTGCTCCCTGCACCCACCCCCATGTTTCCCCAAACCATGTGGGCTGGTGGGGGGACTGAGCAGTTGGAAAGGGCAAATGGGACAAATACACAGTTTTGGAAAAAAAATCAGGAGAGAGGGACAGGGCTTTAAAAGGGGACTGTCCTGGCTAAACTGGGACATATGGTCACCCAAGCATGGAGAAACCTTTGCCCTCACTCCTCTCCCTCCTCCCTTATGTAAGAATGGACAGACTGGGTCAGACCAAAGGTCCATCTAGCCCAGTGTCCTGTCTTCCAACAGTGGCCAGTGCCAGGTGCCCCAGAGGGAATGAACAGAACAGGTACTTAGCAAGTAGCATTGGTGGGTCAGTGGTAGAATTCTTGCCTACCACACGGGAGGCCTGGGTTTGATTCCTGGCCAATGCACAGACTCACGCTTTGTAGGGCCCTCATAGCTCAGTGGTTTGAGCATTAGCCTGCTAAACCCAGGGTTGTGAGTTCAATCCTTGAAGGGGCCACTTAAGGATTTGGGGCAAAATCAGTACTTGGTCCTGCTAGTAAAGACAGGAGGCTGGACTTTCAGGGTCCCTTCCAGTTCTATGAGATAGGTGTATATCTCCATATTTAAGCAATCCATCCCCTGTCACCCTTTCCCAGCTTTGGCAAACAGAGGCTAGGGATGCCATTTATGGACCTATCCTCCATGAACTTATCTAGTTCTTTTTTGAACCATGTTATAGTCTTGGCCTTCACAACATCCTGTGGCAAAGTTCCACAAGTTGATTGTGCGTTGTGTGAAGAAATACTTCCTTTTGTTTGTTTTAAACCTACTGCCCAATAATTTCATCTGCTGATCCCCTAGTTCTTGTGTTATGAGAAGGAGTAAATAACACTTCCTTATTTACTTTCACCACACCAGTCATGATTTTATAGACTTCTATCATATCCTCATATCTCTTTTCCAAGCTGAAAAGTCTCAGTGTTATTAATCTCTCCTCATATGGCAGCTATTCCGTACCCCTAATAATTTTTGTTGCCCTTTTCTGAACCTTTTCCAATTCTGATATGTCTTTTTTGAGATGGGGTGACCAGATCTGCATGCAATATTCAAGATGTGGGCATATCATGGATTTACATAGAGGCAATATGATATTTTCTGTCTTATTATCTATCTCTTTCTTAATGATTCCCATCATTCTGTTTGCTTTTTTGATGGCCGCTGCACATTGACTGAATGTTTTCAGTGAACTATCCACAGTGACTCCCAGATCTCTTTCTAGAATGGCAACAGCTAATTTAGACCCCATCATTGTATATGTATAGTTAGGATTATGTTTTCCAATGTGCATTACTTTGCATCTATCAACACAGAATTTCATCCACCATTTTGTTTCCTAGTCACCCAGTTTTGTGAGATCCCTTTGTAGCTCTTCGCAGTCTGCCTCGGACTTAACTATCTAGAGTACTTTTGTATCATCTGCAAACTTCACCTCCTCTCTGGTTGCCCCCTGTAGCCTATAGGACTAACCTGCTTGGTTGTGTATATATATATTTTTTTTTCTTATATTTTAAGTATTTGGTTTATTGTAATGGATTTATAGATTTATATTAAAGTAAGTTTGGCTGTAATGCAAGAGACCTACAGGCCATATCCTGTATGTTAAGCTAAGGCAAAGTTAGCATATCTATATTAAGACCTTTTATTCAGAAAGCAAGGTTGGCCTATATCTTGTTACCTAAATAGATGAGTACCCACGCCTATGTCTATGACCTTTTATCTAGACCAATAGACAATGGAGAATGGGATAGGTTTTTTTTTTCAATTTTTAAACCCACAGACTTAACAGGTACACTACAAGTAAAGAACTGAAATAACTAAAGAAGAGAAACAATATATGTGCATATGTACATGTCTTCAATACGCACAAACATACTAGCCTATGGAGTAAGCGTACCCTAACAGTTTATGGGTGAGGAATTAAATTTGGGCATAGGAAGAAGGATTTCCGGCACTTTGCCCTATAAAAGAGATGACCCACCTCGATAGAGTACTCCATTCTCATTTACTCCGCTCTATCGTTCTGACTTACATTCTATTTCTACTCTCTCTCTCTCTCTATTCTACTACTATTAGTAGGCTGTACTTGTTCTTCTTAAACTTTAAGTTTCAAGGGAACTAGGCTAAGCTTGGTTTCCCTAAGTTTTATTCTTAGTTTTGTTTATTAGGTTTTGATTTTAAGTTTAAGTTAGTCAAGTAAACCCTAATTTAGTTTTGATAGCTCTTAGCATTAGATTTTTCTAAGCACTGCATCCCTCACTCAAAAATTGAGAAACCTGAACTGCAAGGCTGGTCCTCTGTCTCTTACCACCAGGTTATCAAGGAAGGGTGTGAGTATATTAACCAAAGCTTTGTTGCATATAATACTATATTAGCATATGTATCTTTTGAATAGCAGTAATGCAATTGTAACTTTGTAACTCTGGGTATTTTACCATTTACTTACTATTATTGATTTTAATAAAAAGTCTTTATGACTATATCTGTCTCAGTGTGAGCTTCCTGTCATACCCCCGAGGGTCCTTTATAAATTCTGTGGAGCCTGATTCAGGACAAGAACATTTATCTTCTGATCAAACAGATTGGCGAGCCTAAGACCCATAGTAATTAATATTAATAATTAATTGTGATTAATGTTATTAATAAATTAAATTAAATTAAAATTATATAAGAATTAAATTAATGAAATAAATTAATATTATCATTACACCCTAAATCAGGCTACAGACTGGCGAGCCAAGCAGGAGTTTCGAGGAGTGTGTGACAGGAATTTTCAGGGATTCCAGGCATCCTTAGACCCCTGAGAATCTCACCTGAGACATAAGTAAAGAGTTAAGGTTAAAAGAGTTAGAGAGCAAGATTGTGTGTCTTACTCACTCTTAAGAACACAGGAACCTGATTTCCTGTGGCTGCGGCTTGGCAGCAAGCCCAGTATTTCCTGTTCTGTATTGTGGTTTGACTTTAAGTTTTACTTTAGAAGTTTTGAATTTAATCTTGCAAGATAAAAAGTAATATTTAAAGTAATAGTGTTATTATTTAAAAAGTGATATTATTTAATGTGATACACACGTTTAAGGGGCTTTGCCAAAGGTTGAAGTTGTAATAAATGGCGCCCCCACCCCTCTATCATTTTCTTGGGAGTTATTGAACTAGCTGTAAAACCAGTTTGGGGTATTATTTCCTGTTGTTTCTCTGAAGGGATGCCTTCAGTTACAGAGTAAAACAGCAGTGTGTTCATTATAGTTTATTACATAAGCTAGTGAATTGTTATAATTCAAATGAGTTCTATGTTCGTGTTAAGGTGAGTGGAGCAAGGGCAAGTGAAGAATCTGTTGGAGTTACCAGCAGTCTGGCTTTAGATAACTTTGCCAGAAAATACATTCAGAAACATGGAGGAGGCTTAGGACAGCTAAGGAATAGCGAGATGATATCTAAGCATTGTAACCCATAGGGTTCTATGAGCGATGTATTTGATGTAGAAATGAAGCAGAAAAAAAGAAAGGCTAAAATGGAGAAGAAAATAGCTTCTGATCAAACAGATTGGCGAGCCTAAGACCCATACTAAGTAATATTAATAATTAATTATGATTACTTTTATTAACATATTAAATTAAATTAAATTAAAATTAATTATGAATTAAATTAATGTATTAAATTAATATTATCAGTACACCCTAAATCAGGCTACACCCCTTATCCAGATCATTTATGAATATGTTGAATAGGACTGGTCCCAATACAGATCCCTGGGGGACACCACTATTTACCTGTCTCCCTTCTGAAAACTGACCATTTATACCTACCCTTCGTTTCTTATCTTTTAGGTAGTTACTTTTCCATGAAAGGGCCTTCTCTCTTATCCCATGACAGCTTACTTTGCTTAATAGCCTTTGGTGAGGGACCTTGTCAAATGCTTTCTGAAAATCTAAGTACACTATATCCACTGGATCCCCCTTGTTTACATGCTTTTTGACCCCTTCAAGGAGTTCTCTTAGATTGGTGAGGCATAATT